TTTCATCGTTCGAGTCCTGTCCGATCGTAAATTATGAAACGCTGAATTTCCTAATTAATTCACCCTTTCGACTGGACGGGACCAGACTCGATGTTCAACCTCCCCTGTACGCGTGGCGAATTTTCCTTTCAGCTGGCTGCTGCTCTAACGAGCGGTTGATCAAGCGACTTCTTCCAACGAGAAACAATCGCGAATTGAAGAATTAATGCCTATCGGATTTCGTTTCGTTGATTGAGTCGCCTGGCCTTTTTGGAGACTGTTTTGGAGATAGATGAACGAGAGAAACATGATGAAAAGAAGCTCTTTGCAGGCTGGATCGGTGCTTCTCTCGATAATAAGAACAACGCGACACGCTTGTCGCGAGTGTTTTCTGACCAAATTTTCAACAGACCGTCCTCCAAGACACTGCGACGAAGATTAACTTTCAGGTGATGGATTTAACGTTGATCACGAGATCGATCCTTCAGTCACGATATTGGGAGACTATGAAAGATATTCGTACCAATTAAACAAACAGGTTCCATCAGATCTGATGAGTACGATAGCGTGCTGAAAATCATTAAAAAATACATACAAACACAGAAATATCAAGATTGAATCACAGTACTAAAAGAAATATATCACATCTGCTTACAGTGAATAGACGTTTAAAAAATATTCTGTTCAAAGTCTGTGCAAGAATTCAGCAAACGATACATGTCACGTTAACCAAGCGTATTGCTGAGCGATCTCTCTCTCTCTTTCTCAGCGATTTGAAGAGCACGACGAAGAGGGAGAATCTCGTCGTTGAAAAATGCATGTCACGATAATTGACGCAGGTATTCGCGAGGCATTCCACGACGTTTGTCGTAGCACGCGGCGGATATCTTTTATGCAAGGCGACTTTCAACTTTCTTGCCGAGTCGAATGGGGGGAACGGTGAAGTTCCACGGTGAGGATCTGGATCAGCTCCTGGGATTATCAGACAAAACGGAGGCGAAACAGCTAGGCTCCCGCGATCGGAGACATTCCACGCAGCTCGAGGAGAAGGCAACAGTATTGAATTACGAAACGAATTCGAGTTCGCGAGTGGACTCTGGATAGCTTCTGAGGAATTTTAAGAGAGCGTCGCGCGCGTGTTTCAACTTGGAACAGGGAATCGTTCGATTCGCAAGCGCCATGAGAGATCGGAGTTCGAGTCTCGTCACGCTTTAAAGATGTCGTGCGATCTATTCGAAAATTGGGAAAATTGGACGAAAACTGTGGAAAGAGTTTTTCACGCAACAAAGAATCGGATAAAATCGTTATAAAATGTAACATAAATTTTAAGATTCTATCGCCCGGAACAGGCACCCGGCTATTAATAATAACATAGCTTTTAATTTCGCTTCAGTTCTTTTCTAGCCCCTCGGAAAACGAAACGAACCGAGTAGAAAGAGAAGAAACAAAATCGGGAAAACACGAAACAATTTTTGCGTTATCTCGCGAGCAATGGCTTTCGCGTTCACCCGGAAACACCATAATCGAGTTTCCACTTTAAATAAAAAAAAAAAAAAAAAAAGAAAAAGAAGGAAAAGAGAAGATTGCAAAAGTGGAGCGCGCGAATTTAGCTATTCACCAGGTGAAAGGAAGAAGCCCCGTCGTTTCGAAAACGTGGAGAAATTTCATTTCTGGCCTCTGGGAATGTTCGCGGTTAAAAGAACGAACTGAAAGTAGCCGGGTGAGAGGTTGGCTTATCTCTGTCTGTTTAGGATTACTTGCCCGGTCTATTAATAATCATTGAGGATAATTATTCAAATTTGAAAAATAATTAATCGTTTCAAATAATCAAATTATTAAAATTTGAAAAATAATTATTCAAAACTGTCTGCGGTTCTATCTCGCATGAAATTTATCCAAGTGCGGACAGCAACGTAAAGCAGCAGGATGTTTAATCCCGGCCCGATTATTAGACTCCTACATGTTGAAATGTTGCTTCTCTGAACTCTCAGTTTAACGCGTTAATACTACTCGTTAAAGTTTCAAGCCAGTGATCGATCGTCAAGTAAAAATTCAATGTAAATCGTGCGCGTTGAATTTTGCAGCTTTGTGAGTAATCAACGAGTAATTAACGTTTCATTATTGTTTGCCGGCGAACGCGATATCCTTACAGCGTAGAGTGTGTGTTTAAGTCTGGAGAATATACATTTGACGTTTCAAATGGCATTAAAGACACCTTTCGTTCTCTTCGGATTCATAAATTACAGAGATTGGAAATTTACAGAATTAAAGATATAGAAATATCAAAGAAATTGTAGCAGATTCACTTCGAGGCAATTTTTCAACTGCAGAGCCGACAACTTGTAGACTGCGAATTTTTACGCTCCTATAAGAATATGCGAAAACACGTGAACCGTCGAATCCCATCGATAAAGCAAACGAAAAGAAACAGAGAAATATAAAAGCGTATAAAGGTCGAAACTAAATAACCTAGTAATTGACGAGAAGTATAAATCGAATGAAGTGAAAAATCGCTTCACGTCAAACATCCGATATATTACAAGGAAAACCAGCCACAGTGGGAATTTCCGTACATGCTGAAGCTAATAGACGAAGGATTTAAAGCACCAGCCCACTGTATTTGCATAAATGTTTCAGCGATCGGTTTTTCGAACGAAAGCGCTGTGCGTGTGTGTGTGTGTGTAATTAAATCTAAACGTACCGTCAAAAAAAAAAAA